TGAAACTGAGTGTGCAGTTGGTCACATGGTTGATAAGAAATTGTAAAAAATGCAGATTCCTTCAGCCTGAGGTAGTCACATCACATTGATTCAAATGCCTGGGATATCATAGATACTTAAATATATTACTTTGCTCAATTCAGCACCCCTCCCCACTTATTTTAAGACAGCCATCTATAATCTGTAATATGAAAAATAGGTAAGGTGATGTCAGGAAACTATGATCTATAGGAAGAGTTAAAGGAACTGAGACAGGTTAACCTTAGGAATCATATTAGTGAAAAACTTTAATAGCTGTTTTCAAATATCTAAAGGACTGTCAAATGTTGTTATAGGGATTATTTTCACTCTGTGTCATTCCAGAGAGCACAGCAGGAATCAGTGGATGAAAGCAAAGAGAAGGCAGATTGTTGACTCAAAGGAATACCTCTATAACAACACCTCAATCTGTACAAGAGGAGAACTATTTGGTGAGAAAATAAGATCTCTATTGTTGCAGGTTTAAGCCAAGGCTGTCTGCAATCTATTAGAGAATTTATACAACACACTTCTGCTTTGGGCTACTCTCTAAGGCCCTTAACAATGCTCAGGTCCTATGATTTTATTAGAAATTTGTCTTTATTTCCAAGACTATTATATGTCCAAATGTTTATTTTTACTTCTCTTATTACATAGATCTCAATAGACAGTTTGCAGTAGAAGGTATATTATTTTTTCTGCCCACAGGACACTTTGAAGAAACTAGTCAACCTTTAAAAATTGCTGATTTACCATCTTAGATGTTTCTTAACTCCCCAGAAGTGATTTATTGGCCGCAATTATGATATATAATATCTCTGGCTTATTAAGCACAAAAAAAAAACCCCTCATGTTTCTGCACTATTATGGTTGAGTTCTCTACCTTAGAAAGTCTAAATGTTCATAGTTAAAATTACTATGGTAACCATAACTCAATTCGTTGTGATTATAAATTACTTTTATCCCTATATGTTAATGTTGATTCTTTATATTCAAATGATATCTAACTGCTCATAGTGGTAAACTTGAATCTCTCCAGAAAGATAATAAATTGGATAGATTAAATATCTTCCCCCTAATGATTATAAAAAAACTGTTTGAAGTGAAGAGTTATTAGAAGTAAGAATAGAAAAATTAGTATATTGTCTGATAAGGGAGGGTGAAAACAGAGGGTCATGGTAAATTATAGCATGCATTGTAGTGGGAAAAGACAAATCAGCAAAATTATATTCTAATTAAAATTAATAAAGTGTGGTACTGTACAGAGTAGGGATGAAAAAATACAGGAGCTTTATACAACTACTTTCCCTTTCTATGCTCATAGTAAAAATCAATAATCAATTAAGATATTTTTCTATAGACCTCAATCTTTAGAATCCTTCATCACACACTATTGTAGACAGTGAATAATCTATTTCAATTCTTCTCAATTCTCATTTTCTTCTAGAAATGCCTTAATTATAAATACAGAAAAGGTAAAAGTCTCCCTAAATTTGTCCTGACCAAATTCTACTGTTCTTATGGATAGAGCTAGGGCCTAGATTGGAGGATTTACTAAAAGACCAATCATGTGCACTTTGGTGATATTATAGAGGAAGAGAACCTTGTTTTATTGAAAGGACTGGGATTTGGACTAAAAGTGCTATGACATTTGGGCAAATAACTTTTCTAAATCATAATTTATTTGTAAATATACATAATATCTATCAGTAATGATGTTCAAAGAAAAGCACTTAGTATATTTCACAATATGTACTCTGCTGGGCTAAGTGGTGTGAGAAAACTGGTATACTTGCCAAGTCAGCCAGAACAACTGAGTCAATACAGGTGATTAATGTGGTCTGGACTGTTGGAGCCAGATCATTTTCACATTTCAATGCTCTTTGCAAGAACCCAATAAAAAAAAAAAAGGACAGCGGATGACTCTTCTCCAAAGGAGACATACAGATGGCCAACAGGCACATGAAAAAAATGCTCATTATCACTTATATCAGGGAAATGCAAATCAAACACACAATAGGATACACCTCACTCCTATGAGAATGGCTTATATATATATGTTTAAAAAAATAAACAGTACATGTTGATGAGATTGTAGAGGAGAATGAACCCTCTATATACTCTAGGTAGACTGATTCAAGTCTAAGGAAAATACGCAGGTTCCACAAGATATTAAAAATAAATATGCCATAGACTGCAGCAATTCTACTCCTAGGTATCTACCTGAAGAGTGCAAAAATATCAATTTGAAGGGATATATGCACTCCTATGTTCATTGTAGCACTATGTACAATAGCTAAGTTATGGAAAAACCTAAGTACCCAAGGACAGAGGAGTGGATTAAGAAGATTTTTTATATACACATGATGGAAACTACTCAGCTATAAAAAGAGATGAACTCTTGCCATCTGCAATGACATGGATGGAACTGGAAAAGATTATGCTAAGTGAACTAAATTAGAAGAAAGGAAAATAGCAGATGATTTTATTCATATGTGGGATGTAGAAAAACAAAACAAAGAAGGGACAAACTAAACTAAAAGAAAACCTTAGAAATATGATTGTAAAACTGAGGCTACTAGAGGGTTAGGGGAATGACGGTAGGAACAAAGGGGGTAGGGGGTTGAATGGTCTATGGCAGAGGACCGAGGGTGCTCTGGTGGTGGGTGTGGTGTGATGTGGTAACATACATCTGAGGAAACGTGAACCTATTACCCTAAGTCATATACAGTGTTGTAAACTAATGTTACCTCAATAAAATAATAATGACTAACACCCTAAAAGGAAAACAGGCAAAGGAAAAAAAATTAAAAAACAAGTGTCAGGCAATGATAAATGTTTTGTTGAAAATAAACAGGGTGATATGATAAATGAGATTCAAAAAAAGGTGTTCTAAAATCCAGGTCTCTAAATTTCAGTCAGAACTTTTTCTGCTATATATTATAATTCCAACATAATAGCTTAATCCACGCTTTTTGAAACATGTTTCTTCAAGAACTTTGGTCACTTATGTTTGGGGAATCCTCCCTTTGAATACTTCTTAGTTCTCTGATATAAGTTAAAAAGCATTTGACTAAATAAATTCTCTGCGAAGATATACCAAGTCTAGGTAGTTTTTAATAATTTTATTTTTCTGTTATAAATAAGTTATTTTAATATGTAAAATTTAAAAATTCTACTGTGAGATGTATGCATTTTTATTGTAACTGATTGGCACATTTTTGGAAAACTCCAGTGGATTTCCCGTTACCAAAAAAGCAAGGACTCTGAATAATTAAAGTAAGTTGCTATCCTTAAGAGTGAGCATCTGTTTTCCCCCAAACACCAGTCAGTAATTAGAAAGATTTATTTTCCTCCCAAATATTTTCATTCTTCATGTACACTGGTTTCTTGTATTATTCATCTTATTTGACATAACATGATTTCAATTAGGGTTTTAATGGTCAAGATACATGTTTCAAGATTTTGAAGGTGAGTAGCTACATGTATTCCCAGCATTTCCTGTCAAAATACTAATGCATCAGACTATCTAATGGATGCCTCAAAATTTCAACTTCAAGTTGAAATGATAAGCATGGTATATTTTGAATGTCACTGTGGAGTATTATTAAAAGCCAAATAATAAAATAATACCACTATTTTGCATCTTTCCCTATTTGTCCTCCTCATCCCAGTTCAAAGTGATAGCCCAAGCTGGGAATGCACGAACAGTACATTTTTAAAAGTGTGCCCATACATTTAATGGCATTCTAGCCATAGCGTGGCCCCAACTTTTACCAGTTTGTTCAGATCTGAACATGAAAAAAAAAAAAAGAAAAGCATTAGTAGCCAATCCTCTTATATATCAATCTTTTAAAGTATAGGTTCTTTTTCTCTCTCCTTTATCCTGTTAGCCAAAATAGCTGTTGTGAGTTAGTCTGTGACCCCTTCTGACAAAATGAAGACAATCACAAAGCTCTAGAACCAACGCTGACTTTTGGGGAGAAGTGAATAGAGAGACAGAAGAGGAGGAAAGGGGTGGAAATGGGCCATGAGAAGAAGAATACATAATACAGCTATGACTGACACGTGACCTTCATTTTGTAGCATTGCCTAAGCTATTTCTCCACCTCAAAATCCTTTATTTTTATTTTTCACTTAGAAGTAAAGTTTGAACGAGCTGGAGTAAACAATTTCTGCTTATCGTTTCTCAGTCCTCCCCTTCCCAGGCTGTGATCATCTGTTCTTCTCCAGTCGGGAACTATTTGCAGTTGTGCTTCCAGCTTCACTTTGCCTCTAATTGCTATCCATCTGTTTCCATTAAGCCGCCAAGCCATTTGTCTCATTTAAATATCTTGTTCCTTTTTCTAAACACTTCAAACCGAATTCTGACCTCAAATATTTACATAGCATTTCCACAGATTTCTGCATCTGAGGACAGTGTCATTTGCTACAGTTTAAAGAATGTTATTCAGCACCTCTCACACTGTGAGTGCTAAATATGCAATTATTATTTACTTTGAGAGTAGGGTAGTAAGAAAAAGTTGAATGGAGTGTTAAGGTCATCCTTTTATAAGAGACTCTGTAAATTAATTTAAAGACAATTGTATCTTTCTTTGATCCACTTTTAAGAAAATTTTCTTGACTTATTCTTTTGAGATTTCAAATCTTAGAAATTTCATTTCATAAAACCAATCACCAAATGGGGTTATCATAACAACTCTGGAGTGTTCCCCTAGTAACCTAAAAAACATTTCTGGTTTCCAAATTCTGTCTCATTGCATATGAAATGACTCAATAAACAGTTATGAGAAAATAGATTCCTTTCCACATATACTATGTGGAATGCGGTGACTTATTTCTCCAGAGGTGACTTTCGAGGTGTAAAACACTTCCTCTAAAACACAACGTGCAGGAATGTATGTGTGAGGTTGTGGGAATTTTTGCCAACCACCTCTGAAACCCCCCTACACACACATTCATGCACACACACTTCAAGGTACCTGTGTCCTTAGTTTGAACTCTATAGCGTCTCCAAAGCATCTCCTAAATTCTCTTTCCCATTTGTCAGGAGGCATGTGTTTCTAATAATCTCAGGTGGGTGCTTTAACCTGTGAAAATCCAAAATAAAAAAAAAAATTAAATACTGATTTCATCATATAATTTTCTTAGCTTCTGAAAGTTTACTTGAAAATCTGTTTCTTTCAACAGTTCACTTCACTGCAATATAAGGTCATCTTTCCATTGCTCCAGACATCCCTCTCATTTCTTTATTGTTTTTTCCTAATTATCTGTCACTCACTTTTCCAACCAACAACAGTTCAAGATCCAGTTCTAATTTAATTCTAGCCAAGTATTCACCCTAGGCTTACCATTCTATTCTTCTATTCCTTGAAGGGCTTTCAGACTTTGCCATGAACAGAAATAGGTGTGTGTAAGGGCAGGAGGACACTGAACAGAGTTTCTATGATTCGAGCAGACGGGATAAAGGAGGAGACCTAGAGCCCTGGAGCCCTCAGTGGCTTTTTCAGGTTTTTATTGGGATTTACCAGGTACACAGCAGGCTCGGGTGCCGGGGGGCCGGGAGGCTGGCAGGCCTCCCAACCCCCAGCAAGTCTTCACTATCTGGGCTCTCCGGCGTGCTCTGGTGGCCTCTGCTTCTCTCTCGTGGTTCTTCTCTCTCGGCTTCTGCTTCTCATTTTTCTGCTGGCATCTCCGTGACACCGCCTTTAAAAGCCCAGTCTCTCAGCCCAGGTGAATCCCATCTATGCATGCCCACACCCTACTCCAGGTGCCTGCCATCAGTCATGCATTCAGGACCCCAGGGCTCTATCATCTCTCCTAATGTCAGGAGGGCAGAAAAGCCTGATATTTTACTTACCCTACACTTGTAAAAGACTTGGTGTCTTAAGCAGTCAGTGACTATAATACCAAACTGTAGTAAATTCTTGGCTGGTTTCCTCTTTCTGGCCCTTATTTCTTTCCTGCCAGAAAGCCTTCTTCACCTCTTTCTCACTTTTATTTTTTCTCTTTCTTGTGGTCTTTCCTATCTCAGGGGTCTTTAATTATCACTTTCTATCTGTTTATGTTTACTCTTTCAGGTATTTCTCAATTTGTTTCTATACATTAGGGTGTATTTCTGTGTTTCTATCTCTAGATGATCTTGAAAATATTCATGTTTATTTTGCTAATTCCTTTCCTCAAGCTCTTGAATATGCTTTTCTTTCCCATCTTGCTCTGCAACATTTGAGCACATTTGCTCATTCCAGGCTTAGAAACACCTACCAGTTGTTTAAGAATGCCAACTGGTAGCTGATCTGCATAGAAAACTGACAGAAGCCATCTTTTATCTCCATTATGTCCAGCTTTACTTATATCCTATTTGGCTTCCTTTATTTTCCTTTTTTCCCCTTAGCTTCAGCTCCCTTCCACTCTCTTTTAACAATAAGCAAGGAGGAATTTTCCAACTTTCACTCCTTAATTTTTTAGTTAAATTCATTATATGTCCCAGTGATTTTTCTTGGATACTATTGGTGTCTGCTTCAATAGATTTGACATGAATCCTGGAGTTTATCCGTAGCTTCCTTTGTAATTCTTTGATTGGTTAGTGCTCAGATCTTGATTTTCTTGGCAGTAAGTATCTGAGAGTACTTATCAATGTTATCAATGTAATATGCAAAGACCTCCTAGAATATATTCATGATATTAGAGGAGTATGTTATGCAAATTGACTTAAGGTCTTTTCCCCTCTACTATCTAATCCACTCTCAAGGTTCTGATAATAGACCAATATAAGGGAACAGGGGTAAAGTTTTATTATTGGTAGTTGATAAATAGATATTATTGTGTGTGTTCATGAATATGCATTTCTGCCTTTCATGTAGTTTGGGTTTTATCTTGAAATCCAGTTAATGAAATGTGGACCTTTTCCAATTTAGTTGTAAAACTCCATCTCTTTCAGTACTATATAAAGTATATAAAATTTAATTTGTGTTTACTGGCTTTTCTTCTCTTATTTTTGGCACAGAATTTGACATGAAATGCCCAACGCCAATATACTAAGAGCTAACGACTTGTTTCTTTTTCATCAATCAAACCTTCCATTTCATTTTATTTTCAGAATCTAACTCTCTATTGAGTTTATCTTTTTCTTTCTCTTGATTCTCTTTTCTTCAACAGTTATAATCTCAGTCTTGACCACATATTAGAATAATAATGAAGAAATAATGCAGCATTAAGGCTTAAAGAATACTTCTGTCCTTATTCTGGTTTATTTGAAAGTAAGTGGAAGCTTGGAATTTGAGTATATTTGTCATTCTTCCTTCTAGTTAACTTTAAAATTGTCTATGGATTAAGATGAAATAATTTTGCTGCTATATGTTTAGTGTCCAAGTTTTGATTTTTTTTTGCCCATTAGGAAACTGGTTCCCTGTTGTAAGTGGTTTCAGTTCCTGTAGAATTAGGTTTCCTGAACTTTGATACTATAGAATCTATCATCTCAGAGAGATGTTACAAGAAAAGGCCTATGATACATAGGCCCTAGACAAATCCTTGATGATGTCATTGACATATGTCATATAGTATGATGACATCAATGTCCTACCTTAAAACAATGTGAGGGACAGATGTCTCAAAATTTTAGCGAGAGAAATAACCATACCCCCTCAGCATATGGACACTATATCATGAACCAATCATTTTTTTTCCATTTGAGCTAAATTTGCAGCTCTTCTCTGGCAAGTACATTGACCCATATGTATCCTAACCTTACTTGGACTTCAATTTATTGCTCCTGTACACATATTTTTCAATTATCTCAATAGACTAATTTTTTTATATTATGATATAGCTATTAATAACGGGACATGGTTGTTCTGTTTGGGAGGGAAAAGGGTATAATCAAAACAGACAAGCCAATAAAATCATCTATTATATACACAAGGTCAGCCCTATAGGAGTACCTTTAAACAGATAGCTCAATGTGAGGGAAAAAAAGCTGAACATAGAAAATGATGGATATTGAAGAACCATCAAGTTTCTATTTATCCTTTAAATCTTATTAATTTTTAGCAGTAAATTTCTTAAAAATGGGGAATCAATGTGTTCATGATATTTACCACTTCATCAATGTCAGTAAATATGTGCAAGTCATTTGCAATATGGAAACTGTCACCTCTCAATTAAGTATTGATTCACCATACAGTAAATTTGATGATAAAAAACTTGACTATGTAAGCTACTTAAAAGTTTGGTAAACCTTTAAGTGGGTAACTTACAGTTAAGAATTTAATTTTATAAATGGTAATAATTATGACAGTGACAGAATGCTTAGCAATTTGCAGCTTAAAGTGATTTTGTTTGAGGGGCCTGGAGCCTGCAAAGTGCTGAACTCTGCCCGCAAGGTTGGCACACTGCCCAAGCAGGAGCAGAAGACTCCTGCACAGTGCTTTAGTCTGAATTCTGCCCCAGAAGTACTGAGTGAGGGGGCTACTGGGGGCAGAACTGAGCTGCCATTTGGGGAGCTTTTAAGAGGGAGCTATGCACACGGGCTCACTCTGATCTGCACACACACACACACACACACACACCATCCTGCTTAGGGATGAGGCAGGGGTTGGGGGTGTGGGGAGCCCCTGATCTCAGTAGCAACAGGCCTCTGCTGTACCCTGTCAGCTCCTGTAATTGTAACTCCACCTCCTACCATTATTCAGTAACTGGACCTTCTCTCTCCCTCTAATCTATTGTTTAGAATATCTTTTTTTTCCTTTTGAGCACCAAAGGCCCTTTTGTTAGCATTTGTGATGGCAGGTGGCCAGACATAGAACTGGTGAGAGAGGTTCTAACCTTGTGACAGTTTTCTGACCCTTTGCCTGATTACAATTTCTTACATTATTTCTTTCATTCTTTAGAATATTATCTACATTTGAGGAAGCTGATAAAGAACTCATTCAGGGTCAAAGGATCAGTAACAGAGTAGCAGGTATGTGAACAGAAGCCATCTACTTTAGCGCCCATACTGTTTCCATGATTCTTCTCTATACCTTAGTTGTATATTAATGATATCAAGCATTGGTCACCAAGCATCATTAACTATTGTTAAATAGAGTTAACTGAAACTATAAATATTAATGTGGAATCTTGGTAACCTTTCATAATTGTAGTAATTAATATAGCACTTAATAATTTTTAATTTTTAAACCTGTGTCAAATTCTTTTTATAGAACTCATGTGTCATTTTACTGTCCTGGAAACTATGAAAGGACCTTTGTTATTTACCTTGGTTTATACCACATAGAGTTGCTCCTTCTAGAACCTCCTTCACAAATTAATGCTTGAAATTTAAAGCACTATTTTCCCCCTGGCATCTCATCAATAGCTATGAAAAAGTAAAAGGATCATTTGAGAGAATCAGTGATATCCAGAGGATAAAATATTGATTGTTTTTTTAAACATAGCATGCTGAAAACCACCTATGTTATTTTTAAAATGCCTGGGATTTGAATAATGCTCCATTAATTAAGATTTAGGACATTTAGTAACTGACCTTAACATAACCTCACTATCAGAATAACATAAACTTTTGGCTTTATTTTTCCTTTCAAAATAGTGTCAAATTCCAAACACTGAACTGACGTTACAGTTGTCTTGGGTACAAAGGAAATCATCCTTTACCCCTATGTGTTCTTCTAGGTTGGTGAATAATCAAGAAAGCATCAGACAGATAAGAGAGAAAGCTAAAAGAAGTTTAAAAACAACATGTAGCCTCCTGTACACACGAGAGATCCTGTGTGCCTGAGTAACTAGCCCATGTAAGGGTGCGTGCTCTAAAAAGGGTCAAGTCATCTGCCAAACAAAGGCAAAGGAGACTGACTCAGTGTGAAATACTTTTCATAGACTTGTTGTGCATAGAGAGACGAAATAATCTTCTGAATAATAGTTTCCCAATAAAACATCAAAATTATCCATCTGCTCTTGGGCAAATGCCCAGCCAAACAGGGTTGGCCGAAGCAGGGCCACTGGGGCCCAAATATTTACTACAGGTCTAAAGTGCCTTCTGGCAGGGAACCTCAAGAAAGGGCTTATGTAGGTCCCCGCAAGCAGGGACAGAAGGAGATTATCACATCAAGATAATGGATGCCATTGTTTTTGCCAAGGACATTCTACTTGTCTCTCACCTACATGTTTCTTCTAAATATCTCTTCCAAGTATCTCTACATGTCTCACCTTCACATGTCTCCTCCAAGTCCCTGTATGCGAGTTGAAACCAAAAAAGCAAGAGAAATATAGGCCCACCTGCCCTCCCTGTTATGTGGGTACCACTCAGCTCTGACCTTGTTCCCAGTAGCTCCCCAGCTCAGAAAGTAGAGTTCATGGCATACTGGAGTTTGCACTCCAAGGTGGCTGCATGTAAGTGGGAGTAGGGACAAGAGTACCTGTTCACTGTGTTGCTTCTCCCCCTTTCATGGAGGTAAAAATAGAGAGAATTTTACAGATAAATATCAAAATCAGGAGCCTCCCTTGTGGTGCAGGGGTTAAGTCTCAGTGTTATCAAGATGTAGCCAGGCACTGTGACACGAGTTCAATCCCCAGCCAGGTAGCTAACCCACATGGCTCAGTAGACCTCTCCTGTCTCACCCGCTACTCCCCTTAGCAGAATATTTCAGTAGATCTGCCTGTTCTGCTCCC